CCCTCTGTGACATGCAGATCTGCTTTTCCTACAGAGACCAGCTGCTCCGTTTCTCTGCCTCAGTTACATCAGTTCTGTGCAGAAAGCTGTCAGGAGTACTCAAAAAGTGTTAGAGAAGAAAATACACCCCCAGATCCTTAACAAGCATTCTTGTACAGAGGCAACACTCAGACAGACAAAGGAAGAGTAATCAGCACTGACGATCAGAATGGTTGTGGCCAAAAACATTATTCTTAAAGAGTGGAAATGTGTCATTGAACCCAGTGTCAAGAGCTGGCTCGATGAGAGGATAATTTAAATTACAATGTAATCCCTATAGGATTTGGGGTCCCTTCCTTGAATGTTTTGAAAGAGACTGAGCTTTATACAGATCCCCGATTATTTTACACATCCAGTCATTCTGTGATTACTTCTAGATGCTTATCTCCATAAGAAAACTGTAAATGCATTAGCAAGTTTTGAGCTTTTTGTTCTTTGTCTGGCTGTTGTTTTTCTGTTTGTTTTTTCTATGTTGTGGTTTTATGTTTCTTAGATTTTGTCTTTTTAAAATATTAAAAATGTCTAAAATAAAAAACTTTTAAAAAGAGACCAGCTGCTCCCTTTACCTGCTGCAGGTCAAAGATGGAGAGTCGGACTGACCCAGCAGCACTGAATTCAAGGACACCAGCAAGAGCTAACTCTCTCAGGACAAGTCAGGACTTGTATTGTATTTCAAGCAATACAATTCTCCTCACTCATCTGAGTGTATGATTGAACAGTATTAAGCATCCTGAATTAAACACGTCACACTGATAAACATCTTGCAACACCGTGCAATGCAGGACTGTTTTGGTGTGTGACTGGCCAGGAATCCCAGTATTTCAAGGTGATCGCCACCTGGTGGAAGCCTCTGCGTATTACAGCTGGTGTACAGACAAGCAGAGGTAAGCCAGGTACCAGGTACTGCTGATCAGTCTCAGCTGCCAGGATTAATAATAATAATAATTACTTACACTTATATAGAGCTTTTCTGGACACTCCACTCAAAGCGCTTTACAGGTAATGGGGACTCCCCTCCACCACCACCAGTGTGCAGCCTCCACCTGGATGATGCGACGGCAGCCATAGTGCGCCAGAACGCTCACCACACATCAGCTATCAGTGGGGAGGAGAGCAAAGTAATGTAGCCAATTCATAGAGGGGGATTATTAGGAGGCCATGATTGGTAAGCTCTTGCCGGGGTTACACCCCTACTCTTTTCGAGAAACGCCTTGGGATTTTTTAATGACCACAGGTCAGGACCTCGGTTTTACGTCTCATCCGAAGGATGGCGCCTGTTTACAGTACAGTGTCCCCGTCACTATACTGGGGCATTAAACAGTACAGTGTCCCCGTCACTATACTGGGGCATTAGGACCCACATGGACCACAGGGTGAGCGCCCCCTGCTGGCCCCACTAACACCTTCTTCCAGCAGCAACCTTAGTTTTTCCCAGGAGGTCTCCTATCCAGGTACTGACCAGGCTTACACCTGCTTAGCTTCAAGATGGATTACAAAATGGATATTGGCCTGCACTAGCCCAGACAGAGCTGGCAGGTGAATCTCAGTATTGCAGCTTGACAGCATCTCCTGTCTCTGTCTTGTCATCCAGCAGAGTCACTCTTGCTTGTCTTCTGACTGGCACCAAGCCATGACCAGAAGATTGCATTACCTTAGCTTCAGTCACACGTTAGCATTCCTTTAATAAGATTGTTTACTGTAGCATACAGGGGAAAGCAGCACATTGCAGCAGAGCATAGGAAAACCATGTTAAAAGTGTGCTCATAGTCAGGGAAGCATGATAAAATGTGACACAAAATCCCAACTAAAGATTTTCCAGGAGAAAGAGTTCCAGCAAATGGATTTGTCTTTGTATCACATGGACCACAACACCTTGTTAATAATTCAGCTCATACCAAGAGGTTCTGTAGTCAGGGGCCTCCGTGAAGCCCAGGCCTTTGAACAGCCTGTAAGATAGCTCGTTCTCTTCTTCAATGAAGCAGTAGACTGGGTAGCCCTGGGCATGCAGCCTTCTGGCAATGGTGCTGACCAGAATTTTGGCATAGCCCTTCCCGCGGTGTTCCGGCGCAGTGTACAACATTCCCAGCGCGCAGTAATCGTACAGAAGCACCCAGGAGATTGGGCTCCCACCGTCATCTGTGATGCAGCATGAAGGGAAGCAGGATATCATTTTGTTAATGAGCCGAAAGCTCTGCTCGCCACCTCCAAACTTCCAGGCCTGGTTCACTAGGCCCACATGAGACTCGTTCAGAGAGGAAATTCTGGCCGCCATGTCGCTGAGAAAAGGAAATTAACTTAGTTGTTAAAAAACAGAACATGTGTATGTTCTCTGAAAAACTAAAACTCTTGGTTACACGTTTCAGCTTGCCTCCTTCAGAATAATGTGCTCGGTTCAGATTCCACACAAGTAAGAAACTTACAAATGTGTTTTCTTTCCAGCGTAGATGCCAGGGCTCTAAAATATACAGTCACAAATATTTTCACAAAGTCCCCTCTCAGGAACTGTTTTTCAGACCTGAGCTGCATTAAACCTTCATCCAGGGACCAATTACAAACACAATCCTGGACGGCTTGTGTCCTTTGCATTGAAGCATAATGTCTTGGACAAACCTCAAGCCACATCAAGTACTTTGTGGACTGCTCTTATACAGTGCTTTCCATCCTGAAGGATCCCAAAGTCCCTCTCCTACAGGAGAAGACCCACCTCACCCACTGCTGAAGAGCAGCTCCACTGCAGAGCTGATCAGGTGCAGAAGTAAAAATTGTCCAATTAAACTAAGGGTGTGCATTAAGAATGCCAGATTTTAAAAGCCTAGAGTAGAATTTAGCGAGGAGACCAGGGTTAACATCCCTACTCTTACAAACTTGCCCAGGTATCCTCAATGACCAAGTAGCTAGAATTGTATATTTTTCTTTCATTCAGGTGCCATCCTTCAGGTGAGACGTAAAACTGAGGTCCTGACTCTCTGTGGTCATTAAATATCCCAGAGTGTTTCTCAAAAAGAGTAGGGGTGTTACTCCTGGCCAACTTTTCTCCAGGTCTTCACCAGTCATGGCCTCCTAATAATCCCCGTCTCTGAACTGGCTTCATCACTCTGCTCTCCTCCCCACTGAGAGCTGGTGTGTGGGGAGCATACTGGCGCACTCTGGCTGCTGTCACATCATCCAGGTGGGGCTGCACACTAGTGGCAGAGGTGGAGGAGAGTCCCGAGTAAAGCACTTTGAGTGGAGTGTCCAGAAAAGCACTATATAAGTGTAAGCAATTTTTTTCTTCTGCCCTTTGTTGCTCTTGTTATTGCAAAATGAATGAAAGCTAAATTCAATGCCCACAATTCACTGAACCAGAAGCAATGCATGATGTAGTTTTTACCATGGACTTGTAATGATATGCTGAGTGCATTAATATCACACAGATTCAGTCTTTTACCTGTCAATCTTGAGGTCAGGCAGGTGACTTGGGTCCTGCAATCTCATTAAATGCTCGACAGTGAGGAGTTTAATTCTGATGCCCCTGTAGGCAGCAGCCTCCTTCAGTACGGTGGCATAGTTGACATCTAGTCCTTTCAAAAAAGAAAATGAAAACAGCTTCAGGACAAAACAAGTATGGTCTCACTCTCAATGGTAAAATGGGAGGAAAGCAACAGGAAACTGGGGCTCCATCAGCTGTCAGACTGTAGCTGTCCAGGCAGGAGACAGGAGTATAAACCCTTCAGCACTGCAGCTGGTTTCACAAGATCCTTCGAGGAAAAGAGTCAATAAATGACAAGTAACCAGCAAGAGAAGGCTGGCAGGAATGAGCTCCCCTCATTTACAACTTTTATCTTTCTCTTAGTTTCCCCCAACTGTTAGATAAAACATCCATTTACAGTTCATTCACAGGAAGAAAAGACATTAAAACAAATCAGGGCAAGAAATTAAGAACAAATTCAAACAGAAGTCACTTCTTCTCCAAATTTAAAGAGATACGTAATGCAAACACGTTACAGGTGTTAAAAAAAAATATTGATTGCTGTGCTTGATAAGCAAAAGAATCTACTTAAACAGCCTCACCTCCTACCATGAAACAAGCGCTCCAGTCTACAGCGCTGTGCTCAGCCAGGACACTCCTGAGGCCCTCAGCCTCCTTGCTGAAAACTGTGACCTTGTTCAGGAAATCAGCCGACCTCTCATTCTGTTCAGGGGACAAGACAAGTTAGCTAAGGGTTCCAATCGAGGGGACACTGAGAGCTCAACAAGTTATCACAGGGAAACATGCACCTTCGAGTCTGGTCGGCAAATGACGGTTTTGAAATCCGGCCAGGAATCCACCAGGACATCCAGAGTGTGGGGTTTATTTCTGTTAATGGCGAAGATGTATCCGTACACCTGCGAAGAGAGAGGCGCAGAGAACCCTTTGTGAAACGTTAGAGAAGTTGGTTGCTCTGGTTGGTCATTGTGTTCCTCCAGTTGTACCATAAGTCGCTAAGTGAAACAGCAGAACATCAACTCGCCCAGTGGAAAGCGCTAGATCACCGTGGATTGTCCAGTTAGCCAGTTATTTTACCTTCAGACTCTGAGGAAAGTACGACTCCAGAGCTGTCTCCACTGTCCCCAGTTCTTCTGAGTTTAAAACCTTCATCGTCCTACTTCTTCCTGCCGCGTTGTCATGTCAGGTTGCTGTGTATCTAAAAGTGTCTTTGCGTCATTAAGTGTACATTTTCCTTATTTTGTGACAGTATTAAACAATATATTTTTATTAAATCCCACAATGAAATGAATAAAATAACTTTGTGGTCTATACAGAAACACATAAAGTGTAATAGCGACTACCTAGCACGAAATGGGAGGGACTTATAGAATGACGTACAATTCCGGGGACCGTAAAAAAGCTCCTTGCCGGCTCTCGTGACGACATATAAATGAGGCGTCGTATGCAGATGTGTGAGTGGCTGTTCTAAAGGAACTCTCAGCAGAGAGCTAGTATATTAATTAAATGTGGGTGTTTATTTTATAAGAGATTCTAGTTGGGTGAACATTAAATGATTAATTTTCTTTAAAGTTTGGTAATTGAAAGGAATATATATTGAGTAAGGATGTGTCGTTAAAGAGCGAAAAGGCAAGTGAATCTATCCGATTTGAAATAACATCTTTATATTTCTGTACCAGGTGTGTATGTATATTTCGGTTTAAACCACTGATTACAGTCACGACGTTTTCATGAACTTGTTAATTATTTTCAGCATTCGATTGTGTTAATTCGCCTCTCAGTCTTTCGTAGCCCTTGATAAGACATCAGTCGTTGTCAAGGCTTTTGCTGGCTGCAGTCTCCATCTTAATATAGTTTTGTCAGTCGAACAAACTCTGAAAAATACAAATGATAATTTTGTCCCTTATTGCCTTTGTTTTTTTCTTTAACTTCAGGTCACTCTTGCCACATGTTGGTCACTTACACACTAAAACACGATTAAATGTTTGCCATTGCACAATAATTCAAAGTACAGTTGTGCTTTTGTGTGGGTCTGCTGGGGTTAGAAAACCTCCCAGAATTTTGTTTCTGATCTTTGCACTGATAGTTGTCAAGGTTTTTCTGTCTGTCCCTGACAGTTCACATCTTCTGCACACATAGTACTGACCCAGGGCTCCTGCCACACGAGTCAAAGGGAATGGCCGTGATGTGACCGAAGGCGTTTACCTGGTGTGACTGTCAGAGCTGGACTGTAGGCTCTGGCAGCAAGCCTCAGCTGAACATGAGAAAAGATAACACAGGGCATTCAGCCCATCCTGCTCGTTAGGTAGTTTGGTTCTAAGTGAATCAATAATGTAAATTCTAAAAACCTGCTGTCTAGGAAGCCTGCTCCAGATTCTCCCAACTCTGTGAGTGAAGAAACATTTTCTCCCTCTGTTGTGATTCCCTCTTGGCAATGTTCCCTCTAATTTTTAATGGCCTGTGTGCACAAACATTTCAAGTTGTGCAAAGTATTTCCCCAGTGACAAAAGCTTGTGCATACTAAAGTGAGTGTATGTAAAATTATACACCTGAAATTCATATAGGCATTCTCATAGAAGCATAGAGATCCAAAAGACAGCAATTCAAGGAGCCCAGTCACAGAGACTGAGTGTCGAGCGAGCATGAGCAGGGAGGTACGAGACTATGAGAGCAGAGATATCGAGGATCGAGTAGCAGTAATAATGCACACAGCCAAGGTGGGCCTCTCGCAGCCAGTTACATGTGGTCAATTTAACATTTTTCAATTGACGACCGTGTTTGTTTTATTATTATCATACTTTTTTTGGAATTCATGTTTTTATGTGCAGTTCAATTTCCTATGTGCACAGCTTAGAGGGAACATTCCCTCTTGGTTTCCAGCTGTGACTTTTTGTTTTGAACAATTGAGGTTTCTGGCTTTAGCACAGCCACCACTGAGACTCACTACCTGACTTTCTTCTGAATCCTTCTTGAATTCAGCTTTTATTTGGACTAAAGTTTCTGCCTTTTTACAATGTCTTACAAGAAAGTAAACTCAAGTTTTCCACTGATTTGAATTCTAGATTCAGAAAACCTTTAAGTTGTGACGTTGAGATCCAATACCCTGGTTTCCTTCAAGAAACAGATGGAGGAGATTCTCATGTCAATTAGTAACTACCTACTGTAAGGTTCCCGATAGGCCAAATGGGGCCAAGCTCCTGAAGCAGATTCCCTGGGTTTTTTCATGAAACAGCTGGCAACCAAATGAGTAAAATAAGCCCAGTGTCTCCCTGCTCATTTTAACATCTTTTGCATTTTTAGAAGAATAAATCCTCTTTTTGTTTTGCCTTGAATCTAACTGGATTCCTGATGGCAAACACTGTGTTCTCCGATTAGTTAAATTAGTCACTCCTTATCCCTTATGTAGGAAAACCTCTTAAAAATGACACCCAAACCTAAAAGACCTTAATAAATGTTTATTTCACTTTAACAAGTTGCACAAATTGCATAGCTTTCAACTCCAATATAAATCAGTCAGGCTTTCAAAAATAAACAGAATTAGTAAGAGTTAAATCTCACTATATTTCCATAACACTGGTTAATAAGCCTGAAAGAGACGTTAGTTTTTGCTTTCTTAGCTCTGGCTGCAGAAGCTTGTTAATAATAGGGTGGATGTGTCTGGACACTGTCCGCCAGGGCTCTGCAGGTCTTCACTTCTGGCAAGTATTCTTCAACATCCTGATATCGGTCAACCAGGGGCGAGACCACACCTCAAATGTACATCTCTTGGTCTGAAATTGAAAGAGAGATGTATGAACATATGAACATGAAAGTACTCCATAGAAATACTTTCGGAACAGTACTGTGAATTAAATAAATACCTCAGTAGCTGCTATATGTTACACTAATAGCAAAAGGAGTTATCATGCTTTCTGGCTGAGCAAAAACATTTTAATTCTTTGTATATCTGTTTAATGACTTTAAAACTGCCCAGAGATTAAAACAGTGGCATCAATAAAGAAAAGGCTTTCGCTGTCCACAGTGCAAGACAAACAGAAGGAAATTCAGCTTCGCTCCAGAGGCCATCAGGCTCACAGACAATGACTGTAAATTATGTCCTATGGACAGAGCCCCCCACCCCATCCCCCCCACAGATGGGCCTGTACTAATACCTTCCTAATACTACACACTGTTACTGTCACTTGCTTCTATGGTTCATTTGCCATTATACCTATGTATACTTTTTCTTAATTTTTTTTTTGTCTTTGTTTTTGTTTTGTGTTGTTAAATTGCCACCCCAGGATGAATAAAGTATCTTGAACAGAATTCTAATAATACAAAATCCAATAAATTGGAAAAGACTGCCAATGGTTTTCACTATAATCAACAATGTGTGAATGTAATTCTAATGTCAGTATAATCATCAACTTTAACTATGGAGTAAAAACACTTGAAGTCCCCTAACAACCAGGGTTTTAAATAACTTGCATTGGCTCCAGAGCAGCTAAATACTGCACCACCCACAGGTCAGGTGTGGAAGAAAATAAGATGTTACTAAATGACCAGGAGGGGGCACCACAGTGGTACACTAATGTGCTGTCTGTGTCTCAGCTTGAGCTTTTCCTTTGGGAGAACTGTAGCAGATTTGTCAGTATGATGCTTTCGAAGATGCTGCAGATCTTGGGAAAGGCTGTGCAGTTAATCTTACTCATCCTGGTGCTGTTCCCAAGGAAAGGGTAAGGTTTCAGCTGCTTCTCCTTCCAGTCGAGCTGCTCATGACGATGGAGATTGTTAAACAGTTAGAGAAGATCTTTTTTAATCATTTCCAGCTATTAAAAGCCTGATTGTCCAAAATCAAAACTGGGTACGTGGCTTGAAAACTACATTTCCCATAAACACTTGCTGAGTTAAATTTAAATTGATGAGCAGGCCAGCACAGTGGTTAGCATTGCTGCCTCACAGCTCTGGAGCTCCGAAATGCTATCTGTGTGGAGTCTGCATGTTCTCCCCATGTGGTTTCCTTCCACAGTTCAGAGAGAAACTGGTAGGTTAACTGGTTTCTGTAAAAATTGGCCCTGGTGTGAGTGTCTGCATGTTTGTGACTGCATACCCTGCCTTGTGCCCGTTGCTTGCCCAGATAGACTCCAGTTCCCCGCAACCCTGAATTGGAAGAAGTAGTTCGAAAATGGATCCTTTGGTATGAAAAACAATCACAGCGCCATGCGTGATCATTAAGGTGTAGAGCTGTGTGGCAACAGTGTGTTTCATTACCTTGGCAAGCTGAGGATCGTTATAGATGGCGCAGACCTCCAGATTCCCCTCTGTCCCCTTCCTGCAAGCTGTGCGCCCCATCTCCACCGTAATGATGTACTTCATCCCTTCGACCACCTGGAACAGATGCACAAAATCCGACACTTTTATTGTTAACAAAGCAGAGCTATTCAGCACAGTGCAAGATCCAGGCCTTATTCCAACAGTGCCAGGAATATGCACAAGCAGTGACACCAACACCATTTTAATATCTCTAGAGAAAATAAGCGGTCCTGTCAGGTTTCCCAACTTCTTTCCGCCGAAAGCCTGTTACTTACCTGCTTCTTGACGTCGATGACACGGACAGGCTTGCTGAAGAACACGTCGTTGTTGCCTTTGTTATATTCAGCAATTGCAAACTTCAAAGCCTTCTGTACCCCTTCTTCCGAAATGTCAGCCTTGACAGGGGCTCCGTCACTGGGGGATTGATCCGCGACGACTGCAGCCGCACACAGGACGGCGAGCAGCGGCCAGCTCGTCTTACAAGATATCGCCATCTCTGCGCAAACAGCCTCCTCTCGCAGCCTCTCCGCGGGGGGATTTAAACACTGACGTCAGCAGCGGTCTGCCCCTCCCGGGCACGTGAGCGGCGGCTTCCGCTCCGAGTCAGCGGGCCGAACCGGGAACCGGAGGCGGGATTCGGTAGCTGCTGTAAATGTTCAACTTAACCTCTAATTTTCGTAATGCGTAGTGTACTCCGATGAATGGTTGTAGACTTGTGTGTCCCAACAGAATGTTTCACTGGATACCGCAAGCCTTGGGCATCACGATACAACAGCTGTAATTATAAAAGTAAATCTTTGCTAATGTAGTCCACATAATAAATCATTGCTTCCCATGTTGATTAATTCCAGAAATCAACCAAATACTCTTCTCAAAATTGACAGCATCACATGTCTAAATCTGTGTTTTCTGATCTCTCTGGTACGGGTATTAATGTTTTAAAGCAATGCAACACTGATAATTTCAAACAAATCTCCACCTAAACAATTTTATTATCGCTAACTGTGCTTGTAGAAGCAAAATCTGTTAACGCCAAGCAGGCTGTACAGACTGGAGTCTGTGAACGTGCTGTCATGTTTGTGGAGCTTCTTATCTGAATCAGACCCCAGGAAGTCCACGCGGGCCTGTGAGGACAGAGACAGGGTGTGCAGTTAAGCCCTTTGACCTTGACTCCTCTGCGCGCTGAGGCTCTGTCGTCCAACTCAGATAATCAGGATCGGCCTTAATCGGTTAATCGGCCTTTGTGCCGGATCTCCAGACAGAGCCTGCAGAGCAAATATTAGTCAGGACCACGCTGGGGTATTAATGCTCCACTCCAGGCTGATGGAGTGATACTGATGGTCACATGTGAGCCAACGGTTAATATCCCTTTTCTGAAACTTGCTCTTGGATTTACCCGTGAGAAAAATGTTGACAAACTGACTTAAAAATTCTCTTGTGTTTTGTTCATGGACTTCGATTTTCTCCCCGGTCACAGAGGTCAGCAGCCTGTGGAAGGGAAAGGGTCCCTGATGCAGTCTTGCAGCTGCAGGAGCTGCACCTGGGATCTGCTTGCTGGACTCCTGCAGTAAGAGCTGCCCTGCAGGTTGCGTTGGCTTAGCAAAGGAACAGGTGGGGCTCGAGGTGGACGTCTGGCTGTGACGGTCAGCTCTTCACAAGAACCACTTTCAAATTTGAGCCTGAAGTTAAATTCTGGACCTTGTTTCACTTGGAGCAGGAACTAGGTGATGATGGCAGTCCAGGACAGTTAAGTTTTTTTTGAGAATTCGCAAAGTTATGTTTCAAAGCACCACGTTGACACACTGTTTTTTTGTTTAATGTAAGCAGAACTTTGTTAGTGCTCATTTTTGTGATAGAATGCACTTCTGTAACTGTAATATATATCAGTAGAACAGACAGGGAAACAATAAGCAGAGGACACAAGATGAAACCACGTGGAAGTGCATTTGTAACCGAGAACAGGGGGCACTTCTTAACCCAAAGGGTTGTGGGAGTCTGGAAGAAGCTGCCCAGCTATGCTATTGAATCTCAGTGCAGTGCCACAGTTACATGTGCCTCCCTCCCTCTTGCTCTCCCATGGAAGCGCTTCGAGCCGTGTCTTTAAAGCCCAGTCTACTGGCAGATAACAGTAAGCAGAAGCCAGACCAGAGCATCTCCAGAAGCACAAGTAATGAGAGTACTGGGCAAGAGACAGTGAAATACTGGTGAAGAGCAGAGGACTCCCAGCAGGCCTTAACTATGATGCACTCTGAGACTGAGTGTCAGGCCGCATATGGAATCCAAACTTATCAATAACCACAGCATACAAATAGGCTTACATTCATCTGACAAGCCTCAGTTTTCATTCTTTATAAACATGAATTATGATGAACATTTGATCATGTTCAATTGCCTCTGTTAATCTTTAACTTAAGTATTTGAACAGCTGGAGTTTAACCCTTAAAGAGACATCATACATCGTTGTAGCCTTTCCTGGCTGCCAGCATACAATGGTAAGTCAAGAACAAACCTTGCTCTCCATTCTGCACCGGCAGGCAAATCCCTGGAAAGACTCTTCAGAGCTGGACATCCGTTCCCGAGTCCAGCTGCACAGGAAGGGCTAAAGTAGACACAGTGTACTGGAGTGACGACAGCACTTTAGATAAGAAGCTCATCCATGCATGAGCAGCAGCTTTCCAACCCATTCTTTCAGCATCTTAGAAATTCACAGACTGAAACGGAAAAATGAAGAGGTTTTGCCATCACCTGCCATTCAGCCCATCCTGCTCATTGGGTAGTTTGGTTCTAAGTGAATCAAGAATATAAATTCTAAAAACCTGCTGTCTAGGAAGCCTGTTCCAGACTCTCCCAACTCATGTGAGTGAAGAAACATTTTCTCCCTCTGTTGTGATTCCCTCTTGGTTTCCAGCTGTGACTTTTTGTTTTGAACAATTGAGGTTTCTGGCTTTAGCACAGCCACCACTGAGACTCACTACCTGACTTTCTTCTGAATCCTGCTTGAATTCAGCTTTTATTTGGACTAAAGTTTCTGCCTTTTTACAATGTCTTACAAGAAAGTAAACTCAAGTAAACCTATTTGAATTCTAGATTCAGAAAACCTTTAAGCTGTGATGTTGAGCTCCAATACCCTGGGTTTTTTCATGAAACAGCTGGAGTAGATGTTTGGATCCCTAGGCTATTGGCAACCAAATGAGTAAATAGACCCAGTGGCTCCCTGCTCATTTTAACATCTTTTGCATTTTTAGAAGAATACATCCTCTTTTTGTTTTGCCTTGAATCTAACTGGACTCCAGATGGCAAACACTGTGTTCTCCGATTAGTTAAATTAGTCACTCCTTATCCCTTATGTAGGAAAACCTCTTAAAAATGACACCCAAACCTAAAAGACCTTAATAAGTGTTTATTTCACTTTGACAAATTGCATAGCTTTCAACTACAATATTAATCAGTCTGGCTTTCAAAAATAAACAGAATTAGTAAGAGTTAAATCTCACTATATTTCCATAACACTGGTTAATAAGCCTGAAAGAGACGTTAGTTTTTGCTTTCTTAGCTCTGGCTGCAGAAGCTTGTTAATAATAGGGTGGATGTGTCTGGACACTGTCCGCCAGGGCTCTGCAGGTCTTCACTTCTGGCAAGTATTCTTCAACATCCTGATATCGGTCAACCAGGGGCGGGACCACACCTCAAATGTACACGTCTCAGTCTGAAATTGAAAGGGGAAAAGTTCTGAATACAATACTATGAATAAATACCTCAGCAGCTACTGTATGTTGTGAGTTACTATATCTACTTTTGCCATTAGTGTATCATGCTTTCTGGTTGTATCTTGATCAAAGGCATTTTAATTCCTTGTGCAATATCTGTTTGGAGACTGCCATCTTAAAAAAGTAGCATCTATGGTAAAGAAAAAGCTTTCAAACCTTTGACTGCAAAATCCGATAAATTGGAAAACACTGCCAATGGTTTTGCCTACAACAATATTTATGTACTTATTTTAATAGCTGTATAATCAACAACTTGAGTAAAAGCAGTTGAAGTCCCCTATAATCAATAGGGTCTTAAATAATTTACATTGGGTTCAGAGCAGCGAAAATACTGCACCATCCACAGGTCAGGTGTGGAAGAAAATAAGATACTAAATGACCAGGAAGGGGCACCACAATGGTACACTAAGGTGCTGTCTGTGCCTCAGCTTGAGCTTTTCCTTTGGAAAACTGTAGCAGATTTGCCAGCATGATGCTTTATAAGATGCTGCAGATCTTGGGAAAGGCTGTTGCAGTTAATCTTACTCATCCTGGTGCTGTTCCCAAGGAAAGGGTGAGGTTTCAGCTGCTTCTCCTTCCAGCTGAGCTGCTCATGACTATGGAGATCTTTTTCAAGCTTTTCAAATTATTAAAAGTCTGACTGACAGAAATAGCAACAAAATAGTACCCAGTGCTTGAAAATCACATTTCACCTAAGCGCCAAGTTAAATTTAAACTGATGATCCCCTCTGATAGTCTAGAGGTGCAGAGCTGTGTGGTTACCGTGGCAGGCTGAGTGTCATCTTGCATGGCGCAGACACCCACGTTCCCCTCTGTCCCCTTCCTGCAGGCTGTGCGCCCCATCTCCACCGTAATGATGTACTTCATCCCTGCAACCACCTGGAACAGACGCACAAAATCCGACACTTTTATTGCTGACAGGCGCAGTGCAAGATCCAGGCCTTGTTCCACAGCTTGTGGCGCACAGCTGTAAACAGAGGCACAGCAGCCTGAGGCCTGCAGCTACTGCTCAGGGAAACACGTCACATGCCATGATGCCCCCCTGGTCCGGACTTCGGCCTGGATGAGCTCCACTCTGGAGCTACAGGAATGGAAAACAGCTGTAGGCACAGCTGGAATTCCACATGTCCAGAGCACCTGGAGGGACTTGTTGCCAACAGCACCAGGAATTTGCACAAGCAGTGATTAAAGATCTTTTCATACTGCTGGGACACAATCTAGTTTGGAAAGAAAGTGCTATTAACAAGGGTGTTGGACTCTTTATTAGCTATTAAATCACAAAATATTTTGAATAAGTTCCATGTTCTTGTTTTGGAAAATATTTACGTCATGATTGATAACTCTGCTTCCAAACATGTCACGTGTTCCTGATGAACAGAAACCGTGTGTGAAGCTGTTGTCCCAGCCTGTTCCGAGTATAATAAAACATAATTTAGACACACCCGTTACATATTTTTGTGAGGCGGATGTCCGTAGGACAACTGGCAGAACACAAACAAATCAACACAATGTCTACGCCGTGACGTAATGATTCTGTGCCAAACCACAGGTTTCCCAACACTAATAACTGAAAATATAACGACCCTGCGTCCATATTTCAACACAAATCAGTTCTTCCCCATACAATGTTTGAAAATCGCTGCATTCACCCGTTTTGTTGCACACGGCGCTAATGTATTACTGCAAGTACTCTTAAGAGATACACTACTGCGAACAACCAAATTAACAAAACACAAGAAACATTAAGGAGTAAATATATACTGAGATGCACTAAGAATTAAACACAACACATTTCCGGAACCAACACCATTTTAATATCTAATTGGAAATCTGTGTATAAGTCAGTGCTCTTGCAGTGCCTTGTAGGCCTGCAGGCGATCTGTCTTGGCAAACACTGGAGAGCCGGAGGAGAAAATAAGCTCTGTCCTCCGAACGGTCCTGTCCGGTTTCCCAGCTTCTTTCCGGCGAAAGTCCGTTACTTACCTGCTTCTTGACGTCGATGACACGGGCAGGCTTGCTGAAGAACATGTCGTTACTGACTTTGTTATACTCGGCCACTGCAAAATTCAAGGCCTCCTTCACCCCATCTTCCGAAAGGTCTGCCTGGATGGGGGCTCCGGCTAAGCCCCCTAAAGCGCCGACGACTGCAGCCGCACACATGACGGCGAGCAGCGGCCAGCTCGTCTTCCAGGACATCGCCATCTCTGCTGATCTCTGCGCAAACAGCCTCCTCTTACAGCCTCTCAGCGGGGTAAACAAGCGCAGCCTGGATGCGGGGGACTTTAAACACTGACGTCAGCAGCGGTCTGCCCCTCCCGGGCACGTGAGCGGCGGCCCCCGCTCCGAGTCAGCGGGCCGAACCGGGAAGCGGAGGCGGGATTCGGTAGCTGCTGTAAATATTCAACTCAACCTCTAATTTTCGTAATGCGCAGTGTACTCTGATGAATAACAGGGCGGCAGACTTGCTTGTCTTAATGTTACGTTTCACTGGTTACCGCATAGTCTCGGGCGTAACAATACGTCACCCTCTGATTATAAAGATATTTACATTACAGACCAATAGGGAACGGAATTATTATCTGTAGATTGTGTTGATTGTTCGTCCAAAGTCTGTATTCTTTGTCAACAACACGTGCCTAAATCTGTTTCTTCTGATCTCTCTGGTACTGGCATTTATCTTTTAAAGCAATACAACACTGACATTTCAGACTTATCGGCGCTACAATGACAGTAATCTTCTCTAAACAATGTTATTGTTATCCCTAACTTCGCTTGTAGAATGGAAACCTGTTGACACCAAGCAGACTTGTTTTTGATCACGTTCACGTCAGCGTGTCTTTTTGATGGTGCGCAGGTCCTGTAATTGGATAAACCGAGGTCACTGCAGTTCACTCGAGTTACTGTCTGGTCAAACCCCACACGGCTGTACTGTAATACGCTCGGCTGCACAGATTGTCTGTGAATGTGCTGTCATGTTTGTGGAGCTTCTTATCTGAATCAGACCCCACGAAGTCCACGCGGGCCTGTGAGGACAGAGACAGGGTGTGCAGTTAAGCCCTTTGACCTTGACTCCTCTGCGCGCTGAGGCTCTGCCGTCCAGCTCAGATAACCCGGTTCATCGGCCTTTGTGCTGGATCTCCAGACAGAGCCTGCAGAGCAAATATTAGTCAGAACCACGCTGGGGTATTAATGCTCCACTCCAGGCTGATGGAGTGATACTGATGGTCACATGTGAGCCAACGGTTAATATCCCTTTTCTGAAACTTGCTCTTGGATTTTCCCGTGAGAAAAATGTTGACAAACCGACTTAAAAATTCTCTTGTGTTTTGCTCATGGACTTTGATTTCCAAAACCAGCCAGCAGCCACGTCACCCTGCAACTCACAGCTGGCAGCCCACTGGAGCTCAGCAGGTGTGAGCCTGGTCAGTACCTGGATGGGAGACCTGGGAAAAACTAAGGTTGCTGCTGGTAGAGGTGATAGTGGGGCCAGTAGGGGGTGGTCTGTGGCTCCTAATGCCCCAGTATAGTGATGGGGACACTATACTGTAAAAAGGCACCATTCTTCGGCTGAGACATGAAACCAAGCTCCTGACTCTCGTTGGTCTTTAAAAATCCCAGGGTGTTTCTCCGCTGGCCTGGTGTGTGGGGAGCAAACTGGCGCTATCTGGCTGCTGTCTCATCATCCAGGTGGTGGAGGAGAGTCCCCATTATTTGTGAAGCGCTTTGAGTGGAGTGTCCAGAAATGTGCTATACAAGTGTAAGGAATTATTATTATAATATAATATAGCAGCAGCCTGTGGAAGGGAAAGGGTCCCTGATGCAGTCTTGCAGCTGCAGGAGCTGCACCTGGGATCTGCTTGCTGGACTCCGCAGGGGGCAGCTGTGCAGTACAAGCTGCCCTGCAGGTTGGGTTGAGTGTTTTGTGCCATTCTCTGCCACACTCTCCTGTAATATCTTTCTTACCTGTATTGGCAATTCTTTCTTGGCAGGTACGTTCTTTTTAGGTCATGTCTTAAAGTTTCACTTAAAGCATTGTTGTGTGGGCTGCTGCCTTCTAGCCTGTGATGTATTTACCCTTCAGATGAATCTGTTGAAAAGTGAACCAGAGGGCAATAGTGGAAACTGTGTAGGAGTGCATTTTAAACCGAGCTGGAGGCACTTTGTTACTCAAAGGGTTGTGTGAGCATGGAACAAGCTGGCCAGCCATGTTGTGTTTCCGATGTCCCCTTGTTCCTGGGGTCACAGTTGCTGGAATAGTGTCTTTATAGTGTTTGGTTTGGCCCAGACAGCAGAGCTTCAGTAGAAGTGAACAGGAGGTGGCAGAAATGCAGGAAAGCTGTCTAAAATTGACTGACTGTTGCCATTATACTGTGACTCAAATGAGTGGCCACAAATACTCTAGGTCAAGTTTTCTGCATGACTCAGCACTGTGGCTATCACGGAGCCCCCACAGTATTGAGGAATCTAGAGAGTTTCTTAATCAGAAATCAGTATGTTTCCTCAGTCGTTCTTTCCTTAGTCGTTTTTGTCCTGATTGTCAAGCCGATATGCAACACTCCTAGTTTTACAAACCTGTTTATCCTTCCTTTCAGCAATGGGAGATAGATAGCACTCTCGCTTCGGTCAGTGTTCCTGGCATCTTTCATTTGCTTTCTTCCAAGTTTTAAAACCAACAACTTGAAATGCAGGATCTGAAATGCTTTGTTTCTGAAATGGATGAGGCATCATCGGGGGCTTCTGTCACATTGTACTAAAGCCATTCTACTTACTGCTCCATACCTGACAGAAAGTTCTGTTTTTGAAGCCATGGGCACTAGTTGGAAAATTAATCAGACCTTCTGGCTGTACAGACTTTCTTTAATCTCTAATCTCTAATCTCTGTGCCTGAGCTGCAATGCAGTGCCGCAGTCACAGGTGCCTCCCTCTGCTCTCCCCTGGCAGGGCTTCGAGACGTGTCTTTAAGTCCCAGACTGCAGGCAAATAACAGAGTAAGCAGAAGCCAGACCAGAGGATCTCCAGAAGCACAAATAATGAGAGTACTGGGCAAGAGACAGTGATATACTGGTGAAGAGCAGAGGACTACCAGCAGGCCTTAACTATGATGCACTCTGAGACTGAGTGTTAGACAGAGTCTGTAATCGAGACAGGACGGTTTTAGAGTCTTTATCTTCCATAAGAAATAAATAGATTGGAATGTCAGGCAGGTAGTCTGCTCCGTGTTGTCACTCTCAAGCAGAGCTGGTGAGACAGTCACATCAAACCATGTAATTTGCTAAACTGTTACAACAGCGTTTCTTTCTTAAGACCTTGGTGAACCCAACATAATTAGTTTATTCCTTGCAGGGCAGCAGCCATGACATTATTTTTCGTACCAAGAGAGCCCACTCTTATTCAAAATATTATTTCCATCCAAATGTACATGTTCTACATTCTCTTTTTAGCAGGGAGCAGCTGCTCCTTCTGGGTTTAGCTGTTAGTTCATGCCAACAGAGTTCAGAAGTATAACTGCCTTATCTGTTTTATCAGCTTAAATTCTGGAGATCAATGTATTTAATCAAGAAACATTCAGTTCTCTATGTTTGAAATTCAAGTATTAGAAACTCAGATCATGTTGTGGTGGCAACGTAATTAGAATAATGGTATTTGGGAGGGTGGCACAGTGTAAGTATTGCTGCCTCACAAAGCTGAGGCCCTGGGTTCAATTACTGGGGTAATATCTGCACGACGTTTGCACATTCTCCCTGTGTTCACATGGGTTTCCTCCTAAGAGCAGGTGCTCTTTTGTCCTCCCACAGTCAAAAGAGGTGCTGGTAGGTTAATTGGTAGGTTAATTAACACTGGCCCTGATGTGAGTGTGTGCATATTTACTTGAGTGAGCTCTGCATTGGACTGGAGTCCCATCCAGGGTGTATCCCACCTTGTGCCCAATGCTTCCTGGGATTGGACAAAAACAGCTATTGAAAGTGATGTGATGCCGATGTGATGTTTAGGTGTATTATGTTTCAATTAAATCTGATATCGGTGCCCCTTCATGTTTTAAGTTCCATGCTGAAATAACTGCAGGACATTTTTTTTAACATCCAGCGTCTCAGAGGTAGTGAGGGCTCTGGCCTGAATTCCTGCCTATTTCCTAGCAGGAACTTTGCAGGCCATCTCAGGGAAGGGCCCTGTGTGGAAAGAGGAGTGTCAGGTGACCAGGAAGCAGGATGTGCTGCTAGCAGGAAGTGCAGCAGCTGGCAGCAGTGCTGACATAGATGTACACTACAGATGTCAACTTAACAGGAATCCATGTTTTTTAAGCATCAGGATGGCTGGTAAGGGGGCTTAACTGTTTTCTTCACATTTGCATGGCTTTCCAGGATGCAGTCCCTGAGCAGTGCAGCATTTAGTGCTGTTCCGTGGTTGGAGCAGTGTTTTTAAAAGGGATTTTCTGCTGCCTGTTTTCTTATCTTGTCTAATTTCCTCCTCGTTTCCTAACTACTGGTCACTGGGGTTTCCAGTCTGGGGCTAGGAAAGCTGCAGGGACCTGCCACCCACACTCAATTCCAGCTGCCGTGTGCCGAATCAGAACATTGATCAGTCTAGTAATCAATCAGAAAGTGACTGAGGGCAACAGACTGAACCCTGAAGGATTGTACCTCAGATACTCTTGACTCACGATCTTGGAATATTAGGTTAAAGAAATCTTTTCAGAAACATATTTTGAATGGAATCATTATTATTAGTGAAAAGAAAATCATAATAAAGGCAACAAATAAGCAACATCAAAGAATCAGACTCCCATAGATAATATCCCAGATAAAGAAAATGAAGATGTACGTAAATACTCTTCTTAGATAACCAGTATGTGTTCCTTTTACATGTGCTTGTTTTTTCTCCTTCTGCCAGACCTCCTGTGTAATGTGCTGAATGGAGAGGACAAAGTCTAATCCTCAGCTGGCTATTGTAAAGAGAACCTGTCACACTGTGGTCAGTCTGGAGGACAGAGATTTTAATAAGATACAGTAATGTGGTGATATAAAATATCAGAGTGCAAAAAAGACAGTACTGACTCCTTTTCGAGACGAAACGTAGCCAGGCAGTGTTTAGACAGTAGCTCTTACTGGTCTGAAGGACCATACTGTGGGGAGCTGTGCTTTACTCTATACAAGCGACAGCAAAGTACATAAAGAGTTTTTTTCGACTGCATTAGAAGATGTGAATAGTCTTTTTCTTCTTTCCTCTCTATTCCCCTCTGTAGCATGCTTCAAAAGGTTGCAAGTATTTGCATTATGAGGTAATATTTGTTAATTTCATCACAAAACAAATTGAAGCCATTTCAAGCCCCTTGTCTGATACAATCTGCAAATAAAGTATTGCAAAATGGTAGAGAAATGTGTTCCAAAAATCGATGATAATATTTGCTGGTAATGTGTTTTTAATTTCCATTAAGTGGCTTTTGTGGCACCCTATTGTTAGAAAGTGCTGAGATCATGTTTACCTATCTCTTGATTAGAATCTGAAGAGTTTGTTCTGTGATAAGACATCCTTAAATACTGCGGACCTCTGCGCAGACCTGCACCTTGTTCCTGCAGCCTCAGTGGAACGATGAGCGGACTTCTGTGCTTCCTGCTCCCCATCGTCGTGGCGACCCTCTCGGTGAGCTCCGCGCCGGAGCCCATCAGCACCAGTGACCCAGGGGCGCGCCATGCGGCGGACTTCGCCATGCAGGTTCACAACGAGCTCTCCAAGAACGAGTACGCCTTCCGAATCATCAGGATCGAGTCGGCCAGCTTTGAGGTAAAGTGTTCTGTTCTCAGTTGGCCTGCAGTCCTCTGGGTAAGGCCTGATTTCCTCCTGATAGCGCAGAAAACAAGCCGTCATGCACTCTCGACCTGCTAGAAAACAGATCAGCTTCTGCAAGCAAACAAATCACAGTAGATTTGACAAAAAGGCCCAGATCCTTACCGACTCCCGAAAATCCACAAGTGTCCCTTTCCTGTCCTTACAGCAGAATTCCTGAAGGAGCCCCATGGTGTGGTTCCAGGAGTCTGTAAGGAATGTGTGCTGATGTTGAGGAATATTACAGAGAGATGTCAAGGGTGTTAAATTCTACACTGTCACTTTCACTTTGAATGAACCCCCTGCTCCCAGTGATCAAGATTACTGGCATTACTGTGTTACAATAGGATCTCATTCAGACTACACGCCTGTGTGGCTGCAGGTTTAAAGCAGACGTCTGTGTTCTTGGTGCAGATGTTTCCCCCATCTCGAGTGGAGTACTTCCTGACAGCAGAAGTGGGCAGGACCGTGTGCAGGAACGAGCAGGGTTTGAACCCATCGGGCTGCGCCCTGCAGAGCGGAGCAGACGCCAAGGTACGATGACGTCTCATACAGTCGCAGCCACAGTTGTGTTCAGTTACTCGGAATCCAGAAGCTACCAGACTATGTATTGAGTCAACAGTTTTCTTGCTATCGACTGAAGATAAACATAGAGCGTGCCCACTATGGCTATTTTTCCCAATTAAAGATACAATGCATTGAAAATTGAGTTTCAAGTAAAGTAGAACCTATCTCACTTAATAAAGTTCTCTATCCATCTCTTCCTTCAGTATGTATTCAGGATTTACAGGCTCTTATTCCTGTCTGATAGTAACACCTGAACAGGATTTGCGGTGGTGCGTTAGGAGAGCCTGTCGATGCCAATGGCCTTGCTCAGGGTGTTATCTGAGCACTGAGGACGCTGGGTGGTTTTCACAGGAAGGGTGAAACCAAGCTAAAGCTTTGTGTCTGGAGTAAAGCTATTCCAAACCTCCGCCTTCGAAGGCCTGATTCAAAGTGTCTCGATGTTTATCCCTTTCAGTTAGGATAGAAGAGCAACTCCCACGATACTACTACTGCTGCTGCTTTCTCCTTCTACTGGGGAGAACCTGACATCCGAGGTTCCTCTCTGTTCCCTTTCAGACCGTGGTGTGCAGGTTTGTTGTGTTGGCCGTGCCGAACTCCAGCGTCCCCAGCCACCTCCTGGAAGACCAGTGCCAGGAATAGACCGAACTTCAGCAGACGGTTTGGAAGGGTGGAGCCCAGGACTCGTCCCGTTTTAAATCTGGCCTTTATAATCCTGCACAAGACACGGAGTGGGCATGCAGAAGAACGCACTGAAGTGTTTGATCTGTGCTTGACACATGTAGCGAGCAGTTTTCTTACCACCTATAATGGCTGTATGACCTTACAGATGCCACTGATGTTGTTTCCTTTTCAAAGTCTATAGTGGGGAATGTAGCTAGACTTTACATTTTCTTTAACTGAATATTCAAAATGAGATTTTATTGGGGAATACAAATTTCAATTGAAACAATCCGCTGTCTTCAAAAGCTGCTAGATCTTGCAGGATTCCTCCCATTCATCTGCTGATGCGTCAATAAAGTGTTTTATGGATGAAGTTCATTTGAGTGGTTTTATTCTTATTGTCTCTTAAAGTCCTCATTACATTATTAAAAAATTGAGTCGACAGGTTAACTAAACACTGAGATCAGTACGTTAACAGCAACACAGTTACTTCTCCACACGGTGGCAGTGACGAGCCTCTAACTTCTGAACTTCTGAACTAAGGTCGTGTGTTTTAAAGCGTCGACACAAACTGCCCAGTGCGCTGCAGTGTTGGCTCAGGTTTACAATCCGAGTCCTTCAGGTGTGCTTCGTCTTGTACTCTACGGATCCTGATATGCAATCTCTGGAAGCCGCCTAGTGAGTAAAAAAAGTGTACAAATTGCACCGAAGTCACTGTATATTTGTGTGTAAAATATTCAAATTGTATTTTATACGCTTTTTTCTACCATATTTGTTTATTTCAATTACAGCAATGTAGCTTTAAAAATCCGTCGATGTAGGGTCAAGACGGAATTAAAATAAGATTCCCCTTCATTATTCTGAAAGTTTTCCTAATTTTGAAACGATTAACTAATCCTTTTCCACAACTTGTCGAAAACGCCCTTGTTAGAAGTCATTGTGTCATGTAGATATCACAGTTCGTGCAGTATATTTGTATAAAATGAACGGCTACTTGTTCCAAATGGGCGGCAGCGCCGACACAAGAAACGCCGATTGTACTAGCTGTACCTGCCCTGCGCCCGTTGCTTGCCGGGAGAAGCTCCAGCTCCTCCGCGACTCTTGTTAGAAGAAGCGGTTAGAAAATGGGTGGATGCCGAGCTGGATTTCCCATTGGGCACTCTAGGCACAGGGCCTAGGGCCTACGAAGGAGGGAAACATTAGTGACTGACAAAAAACGAGCTGAAACAACATGCTTGCGATCGACTCTAGGTGCTCTAAATCAATAATCATACGCTCTCTAGCGGCTGTTCTAGAAACTGGAAGTCTCGAAGTGATTGGTAGCTCGACTCCCCTCCATCAATCAATTCTAATATGTGATGCCCTGTATTTTTTTGTGAAAAGAAAATAAAGTTCTTAAAAATCGAAATCGGTTTAAATAGTTTACCCCTCTTCTTGCACATTTCGGAGTGAAAGTACCTAGGGCCTATGAACACCAAAACCCGGCTCTGGGTGGATGGATTGATTTTAGTATCACATTCAAATATATTTTTGTTGAACGTTATAGGAGGATGCAAAGGAACAAGTAACAGGTTTATTCCATGCTGAAAAAAAAGAAGAAAGGTCAGTGTGGAGCCTTCTTCGGTTGTTAGCTGGGAAGATGATGTGGAGCTGTCTGCCGTAGAAATTCCTTAGCCTCTTTGTTGTTGTTATTGGAAAGGATCATCTGTTTTGAGGGAGAAAATGGTAGAGAGCATCAGTTTCCTAGAAAATTGTTTTAGAAGTCTCTGAGTGTTACTCTGGGTGGTATCAGAGTCAAAATAAAAGGTATTAAATTTCAGGCGAAATCCTTTAGGGATGATATTATGTCGACGACATCTGTAAAGGAATAGGAGGTGGTTAGAAAGCCTGGTCTTGGAACAGATAGCTGTGAAGAGACGGAATGCTGGTTTAGGCTGTTGTAGTTCAGGTGGGGAGCTGCATCAGCATGCGTAGGCTGCAGAAGAACAAGTAATAGGTTTAAAAGAAGAAAGAAAACACAACGTTTCCACCGTGGAGCCTTCTTCTGGTGTGAGCTCTCAGCAGAGAGCGTTTATTAAAGTTAAAATTAAAAGAGAACGTTATCCTTCTTTCTGTTTACTTATAACCACTTGTCCTGGTGACAAAAGGAGGTTATTGTTTTCTTTAATTATTTGTACTGCAGTTACACATTTTTACACCCTTTTTCATCTTAAACTGTATATCAATATTATCATCACCTTAATTTGCACAGTAAAACTGCAAATGGCCATACATCTGTTGTCTGAGTCACTTAACAATTCTAATGGTAGTAACTCTAATGGCAACCTGAAGTGCAATTTAGAAAAATAAGCTTTCAAGAATTTTAAGAAAGTTTACAAACATTTTGTCCCTTTGGTAATTATTAGTTAATTGATCCCAGGAGCTCATTCAACTATGTCCTGACAGAAGCCATGGTATCTGCTGGCTGGCTGGGCAGCTTGTTCCACACTCCCACACCCCATTGTGTACAGCAGTGCCTCCTGTCCTGACTGGAGAAGCACATCTTGCTGTGTCTTGAGAGAAGCCAGGATATCTGCTTCAGCATCATAGCTTGGCAGCTTGTTCCACCCCCCCACCACCCTCTGGGTAAAGCAGTGCCTCCTGTCCTGCAGCCAGGCTCTTGCCTGCTCCCTGGAGGCGCCTGGCCTGCGGCTCCTGGCGGTGTCCACGGCGGTGGGTGTCGGGGGGCTGCTGGTGGGGTACCTGGCCTGCCGCAGGAGAGCGAGGACCCTGCCAGTGGGGGAGGGCTGGTGGGGGGCTGGGGACAGGCCGGCTGTGGAGGACCAGGAGATTCGGCCTTTCGTCATTACGACTTCGGACACAGAAATCGAGGTAACACCAGGCTTGCTGGACGTGTGTCCACTCCCAAGAGTGGTGCCGCATTCCAGGTCTCTTTTGTAATAGTCTGTGCTTTAACCTTTTATGGACTGAAGGAAAAAATAGAAGCAATTGCCATAATACTGTAGAAAGGCTTCGGTTAATAGAAAATATAAAGAATTTCTTTGTTACAGCAGAATAGGTATAGGCTGCTAACAGGTCTCTGCACCCACGTGGAATATCCTGATGCTGTTCGGTTGGTTAATGATTGTTTTCCACACACAGTGCATAGATTTGGCAAAGATAATAAAGTGAGATACATTCATAGAATAATGAATGATTAATTCGATAATAATGATTCAGTTACAAATCAAAGAGTTCAGTGAAAAAAACATTTTATTATGTGCGGTGTAACTCATAAAAGCATTTTTTTTTATTCATGTAAAGGAGAACTAAGCTGAGGTCTCTGCAGTCTGGTGCCTTTGGACATTACACTGCAGGCCTGCCTGACTAAAAGCCCAGATTCAGAGTACACAGATGGAGATTTTTCAACTGACCAGACTTTTATGTCTTGATAGGATGTGAAGGATTAAAAAAGTGTATGTGAAACTGAATGGAGTTGAAAAACTGTACACTTTAAAAGTTTTTATGCAGCTGAGGGGTGGTAAACATATCAACACCAGGCAATTTATAAGCCCTGTCCTGCTTTCAGCTAGAATACTTGAGGTAAGAGAATGCCCACTGACTTCATTAACTCCACACTGAAAAGTAAAAGCAGAAGAACACAATTATGGATCCTCTTGAGGGTGTGTGAGGTAGAGAGTGAGAATATACAGCCTCCACTGATTCCTGATGTGTTGGTTGTGGTGTCCCTGTCAGGATCTTCACAGGCGTATTGATCAGATGAGGTTCAGTGTGCCCCTGGAGAACAGCTGCTTCCATTATGGCTTCAATCTCACTTACCTGCAGAAGGTGGTTTCTTACTGGAGGAACCAGTTTGACTGGAAAAAGCAAATAAAAGTCCTCAACAAATACCCCCACTTCAAAACCAGAATCGAAGGTAAGACTCTGGTGAGCCATACTGCTGAGGCAAATGAAGTTTTATTAGTGTCTCTTTAACTGTAGGACATGAAACAAATTCACAACAATGAGAATCTCCACTGCCAAACCAGAAGTTTCATGAGCTCCCACCAACCTGTAAATTGTTCTGGGAATTAAATCTTGTGTGTGTGTGTGTGTGGGGTTTGTGTGGAGAGTATGCGGAGGGTGTGTGGGGTGGGGTGTGGGGTGTGTGTGCGGGGTGTGTGTAGGGTGTGTGTGGGGTGGGGTGTGCTTGCGAGGTGTGTTTGCAGGGTGTGTGTGGGGTGTCTGTGTGTGTG